GTTTTTCGATCTAAACTATTTTTCGAGTTCGTTGCTTTCGAAGAATTGTTACAATGGAACCTTCCACCTAATAGCTCTAGATTTCTGTATTTCACACCCTGGATGCAAGCGCAAATAAATGCCCACAAAACTTTGATTCCCTGAAGAAGGCAGAGCAGAAGGCCTGGAAACATTTGGACACGCCTTCAGTTGCGTGCCACCGCACGCGCCATCCCCCTCATCCGAAGGCTCGTGTTAACGGGGGAAGTGGCAGATCTCAATTCTATTCTGGAATTACTTTAAAGGACGAATTCACGATGAAAAAGCAACCCATTTCAAATTAACCTAGGGATGGTGAGTGGTACACGAAAGAAGGAAAACCATGAGAAACGGCCCAGAACCCGAGAAATGGGACCCCTTCCTTGCCCGTTGATTTGAGCATTGATGCGACTCTCATCGCTGTGCCCTCTTCAACACTACGCTCTCTCAGCTATCTAATCACTCGCCACGTATTGAACTACGGCGAGTGATCAGATGATCGGTGGGCGGAGATCGCCGGACCCGCCAGCTTTGAGGCATGATAGGTCGCCGAGGTCAAATTTTTCCATGCGAATTGCGTTGCGAATTGCGCGTCAGTTCGCACCCTCAGGAGGTCCGTGGGTCCCTCAACTAGGTCAGTTTCCCTTTCTTCGACCTTCATTCTAATCGTGAATTCCTCCTTTAAGGTAAGAGTTACAAATACTTCCCAGAAGTTGGTTTGTTCCATCAAGCTACTATGCGTTTTTAACGACACAATGTCTTGGTCCTCATAATTTTGGACCACCTGTAGTACCTGATGATGCCAAGAAGATGCGAGCGGTCCGGGATCAAATCCTGGGTCGTGAGTCGCCCGGGCCAACCAAGCCTTCCATCCCTCCGGGGTCGGTTAATTGGTACCAGACTTGTCTGGGAGGATAAAAACACTGACTTGTACATCGGCTGGCCCCCGCAAGTCATTGTATAGGCCACATCGCATTCAAACGCCACTACGAATGTACAAATGGAAGTAGAATGCGTGCCGCATCCCAAAAAGGGATTGATCAACGGCAAATGCTTTATCCTTTATCCTTTTTATTTACTCCTATTCCCTTGGTTTTTTGCAGAATGCGTTGCCGTCCGATGT